GGTTGAGAGGGACTTGAACTTGTTTCTGTATGCGAGCCTTGACGACAAATTGTCCGGCTTGGTGCCTACTGAAATATCAATTGCCTCATTCCCAACCATCGCAGCAAGGCTATTCGGCGATCTGCCTTGGCTCTCCGAGTGGTCCGTAGCAGAAGCGGAGACGGAGCTGAATGTGGTTGAAAGTAGCCATGTTGAAGCCCTGGATGGGATGTTGGACCTCTTCATCGCAGACCCCTTTGGACCAGAGTGGGCAGCGGAGACTGCTGCCGCTGGAGTGAAGCTGTCCCTGCATGGTTTGTGGTTCCACTTGAGCCATGAGACTGTCCACTCTTATACTGAGCAAGACGTGCGTGCCTTTGAAGAGGCGCTGCCATCCCCTTTGAGGAGGGTATTTCCTGCAAGAGCATCCCCCTAAGCAGGACCTGTTTACTTGGCTATGGCAGTCCGGCCCAAAGCCCCCAAAGCTTAAAGCGCATAAAATTTAGTCAACTCCTTTGGCTTCGATGGTGAGGATCCCAAACTCTAATTAAACCCTAAACCCCAATCGGCTCTAAATCCTAAGCCCTAATCGGCTTCTTGGAGTTGAAGAGCTTAGGGAGGAGGTTTTGATAAGAAGCATACATCTTTATGAGGTGTCTCCCGGGTTCTCGCTCCGCGAGTTGTTCTGTTTATAAGGGGTCAGTGTAAGTATATGGGTAGTTCTCTAAATTAGGGTCCTTTTTTCGGTCCCCAATATAGTACGGCACCCTTATTGACCCTAAAAAGGATCCTAATTTAGAGAACTACCCGGTATAGAATGATCCATGCGTCAGGTTCCCGAACATACTTGTCGTACCAGCCTCCAACAGGCCTCGTCTAAGTGTTTCGGTGCCCACATGGCAGACAAGCGTGGTTTCTATTGGAGCTTGACGTTACATTGAGGGCTTTCCCCAAACTGCCTTGCTGGAGGGCTCCGGAAAAGATCCGGTGTAAGATGTCAGCCGCGATGGTTTGCATCCTCCCTTCCCAACTGCGTCTTTTGCGGTGATTCCTCGTTGTCGAAATGTTTGGACGCCCTCGTAGCCTGCGCCCACATTAAGATGTCCAGGCATAGGCTTATTGCTACGTCACTACTGCTGCAAACGCGGAGACGACACAATTCTGACCCACGACCCTAGACCCTAAAGGACGAGCTCATGGATGTAAGAATGCAGCACGCTGGCACTCCTCTTTAAGCCTTTTTTTGTGCACGTAGTAAGCCCGTATCTCAAGTGGCCCTGATAGCATGTCGAATGAATCAATCTAAACCCGCAAACACAATGTGAAATAAAGAACCAAGTGGAGTTAGCTGGAATGGCCGACCAAAGAGAGAGACACGGAGAGACAGGGAGAGACAGAGATACTGTATTTATGTTATGTGTATGTGTGTGTGTGTGTATAAATACACAAAAGAATAAATACACAATATATATATATATATGTATATGTATATATATTAAAAGATAGACTATGTAGAGCGAGAGATCGAGTGAGTATAAACACATCATATGTATACCTCTCTCTCTCTATTTATCTCCCTCTCTCTCTCGCTTGCTCTCACCTTTCTCTCTGTATAAGCATCTAATGTGTGTATGTATATACATACACACATTTTTCTCTTTCCGTATACACATACGCATGCACAGATATATGCTACGCCCTAAGCCCCAATATACCCCTTATAGGAACCCTTATAGTTCCTTTGCGGACCCCTAGCCCCAAACCCTATACCCTAAACAAACCTAACCCTCAACTCCTACACCCTGAACCCTAAATCCTAACCCTAAACCCTCAACCCAAAACCCTAAACCCTAAACCCTACAGCTGAGTCTTGAAGCTCCAGAGACGGCCCTTCAGCGAGGCAACGACTCCGCCCTGAGAGATCTGATCTCCAGGCATACGAATGCGCACGCCCCAGGGGCGCTTAGGGTGGTTTAGGGTTTGGGGTTTTGGGTTTAGGTTTTAGTGTGTGGGGCTTTGGGGTTTAGGTTTTTGGATTTAAGTTTTAGGGTTTGCAGGCATGCGCAGCGGGCGCAGCACGTCATTCACTCTCTCCTTCTCTTTGTCCCTCTCTCCCTCCCTCCCTCGCCCCCTCGCTCTCCCTCTCACTTGTTGTGCTTGTCTCTCTCTGTCTCTCTTGGCTTGTCTCTATCATCGCTCCTCCTCTTCCTTCTCCTCCTCCTCCTCCTCGCCCTCTAGACTTGGAGCCAGCAAGTGCTGCAGCCTTGAGCTTGCCGCAATTACGAATCGGAGCATTCGCATGCATTCTACGCTGCTCCCAGAGAGTGCAGCATACCATAGTTCAGGAATATGCCCTCAGATATAACATTCCCTAAGGGTCCATGTACCCAAATAGTATATACTTTGGCCTTAATGTAGTCCCTATATAGATACTTTGGGGCCAATGTATATACTATTTGGGCACATGGACCCTTAGGGATTGTGCTATATCTTTCATCGTACGTGAGGGGTTGTATATTCTAATTCGGGGAATACTCCAAAGGAATGTGGTGCTGGGCCTTCTTTGCCCATGTAGCGTGCTAGTCTGGTTTCGAGTTTCGAGGCTTAGGCATCAGGGCGTGTACCCATATAGGGCATGCCCTGCCTCTTGTTTCGGATTCCTACTTTTCTACCCAGAGAACTGACAGGGCTGTTGCCCCTTCCGCAAGGATGCCTGAGGCTGGATTTTGCGGGGAATCATTTTCTGTCTGAAATCCATCATTCCTGTGGGGCAAAAGCAAGATTAAGAAAACCAGGTACCCCAACATTTCGTAGGTCGTTTAGGTCTCACAGTCCATGCTCTGAAAGGTTTTTGGTACCTCGGGCGCTTAGGGCTATATGGGTAGTCCTCTAGAAACGAGGGTCCCCATCCATAAGGGTGCAATACTATTGTTTGGGACCTAAGAGGGACCCCAATGTAGAGAACTACCTATATAGCAGACCCTAACTCTAAACCCTTAACCCTTTAAAACCCTAAACCCTATAACCTTTACAAACCCTAAACCCTTAACCCTTTAAAACCCTAAACCCTATAACCTTTACAAACCCTAAACCCTAAACTATAGCCCCTGTAACCCCTAAAACCCGCTAGGAAGGATCCAAGAGCCTTCCCTAAACCCTAAACCCTAAACCCTAAACCCTAAACTATAGCCCCTGTATCCCCTAAAACCCGCTAGGAAGGATCCAAGAGCCTTCCGGCTCTTCTGGGTTCAGAGGGCTTCTTGGCTTCTTGGCTTCGGGTTTACGGTTTAGGGGCTTGTTGTGTTTAGGGTTTAGAGTTTAGAGGGCTTTTGGGTCTTAGTTTTTAGAGTTTAGGGGTTTGGGGTTTAGGGTTTGGGGTTTAGAGTTTAGGGCTTCGGGCTTCGGGTTTAGGGTCAACCCAAAAACCCAAAACCCTGGTTAGGACTTCGGGTTCATAATATAGGAGCCTTAATATAACCAAAATAGGGTTTTGTGGTATACTATATAATATATAAGTATAATAAGGAACCCTCAAAATAACAATAATAACAATAATACTACTAATCATAACAATAATAATAATAAAATTAGTAATTAATAATATAGGTAATTATTCTCAGGCCCCTACGTTAGGACTTGGGGCTCATCGAGACTTTCCTGCGCTCAGATCCTCATCGTCGACGACTTCACGCACTCCGGGTCGGTGGCCGCTAGGCTTCTCATGGAGTTTAGGGTTTGGGGTTTAGGGTTTGGGGGGTACAGTATACTATAGCTCTGATAAGGAGCCCCTAACCTAGTCTTCGTAATTATTTGGGCTTCTATATTCGGGTTTCCCAGGGCTTGGGGTTTACTGAGAACTCCCCAAGTAGAGGTTCAGAGAGCCTTGATGGTTTTTATTATTGTAGGTGCTTAAGCAACGACAAAGGGTCGTTGGAGGGTCTAGGGTTTAGGGTTTAGGTTTCAGGGTCTGGGTACGGCTTATGGTTCGGGTTTGGGAAGCTAGCTTTCGTTGGGGATCAAGCTTAGTGTTTCAAACGAGCCCCCAATACCCTAAACCCTAAACCCTAAACCCTAAACCCTAAACTTCCAAATTCTTTAGTCAAGCCCCAAAGCCTACGCCACCTCAAACCTTGAGCCCTAAAGCCAAAGCCCATAAACCCTAAACCCTGAGCCCTAAAACCTAAGTCCCTCCCTAGTGGACCTTACGGCTCAAGAATCCTATTGGCTGCAATTTCTACGGTTTCGGTTTTAGGGTTTAGGTTTCGACTTTAGGTTGAGGATTTAGGGTTGAGGTTCTCGGGTTTAAGTTGTATGGTTTAGGTTTAGGGTTTAGGGTTAAGGGTTTACGTCTCAGGGTTTAGGTTTAGGGTTTAGGCTCTAGGTTTTCGGATTTAGGTTTAGGGTTTACGGTTTAGGTTTTAGGTTTTAGATTTCGGGTGTAGGTTTTAAGGCTTAGGTTTAGGGTTTAGGTTTTAGGGTTTCGGGAAGTTAATAGTCCTGAAGGTGCAGCCTGCGTTACCTAGACCCTTACGTGCAGTACCTTATTTTGGTTATCTTAGTTTCTTATTTTAGGAGCCTAACCATAAAACACAGGTTATCCAAAAAAAGTACTACACCTAAGGATCTGTACCCAGACCTTCTCCTGGGCAGTAATAGTATGAGCGAGATCCCTGAAAGGGGACCCTTCTTAACCCGACTTCTGGCTTCCTTAACAGGGACCATGCTGAGAGGGTCTATGTCACCACCTGATCCTAACTCCTACCCTCCAAGATCCGAAACTAGACAATCCGCCCTGATACTATAGCATTGAGTTACCCCTCTAGAATCACGGACCTTCAGTGCTAGGGTTTAGGGTTTAGGGTTTAGGCGCTAGATTTAGGGTTTAGGGCTCATAGGATGGCGTGCTTGACCCGACAGAACTAGATGAAGCAGAACCCATGGTAGCCGTAGTTCTGTTGTTGAACCTCCTGGAGATTCTAGTGTACAGCTTTCCATTGAAGCCCTAAACCTTGGAAGGTTATTGGAAAGACAGATTTTAGCATTATTACCAGTTTTTGTTTTTGGCATCCCAAGGCTCGTTAGCCACCAAAGCGCCGCAGTGCATGGTTCAGTAAAGTGGCTATGTGCATGCAATGATATTCCTAACTGTGGCGTAGATCATCCGATCATTTACGTTGTTGAAACCTTCGTTGTAACCCAAAGGGTCCATGTACCCAAATAGTATATACTTAGGCCTCAAAATAGTCCCTGTATAGCTACTTTGGGGCCAAAGTATATATAATTTTTGAGTACATGGACCCTTAGGGTAAGGATAAAGTGTAGGGATTAGTATTGGAGCTTTGATGGTTCAGGACTCGGGCGGTTTATCTGCAATGGAGACTACCCAGATCCCGCCCCTAACCCTGAACCTTTTCATTACAAAGCCCAAACCCCCGAACCCTAAACCCCAAATGCTCAATCCCTAAACCCTAAACCCCAAATGCCAAACCCTTAAACCCCAAACCCTAAACCCCAAATCCTAAACCCCTAAAAACTAAACCCCAAATGCCAACCCCTAAACCCTAAACCCAAACCTTAAACCCCAAATGCTAAACCCTTAAACCCTGAACCCCAAACACCCTAAACCCCGGACCCCGAATGCTAAACCCCTAAACCCTGAACCCTAAACCCCGAACCCAAAATGCCATACCTTAGGAGTCGCCTGTGCTCCCCGAGCCGCGCTGCCGAGCCGAATCTCGGTTCGTGCTAAAGCGATACTTAAAGGGGTTTAGGGTTTAGGGTTTAGGGTTGACTTAGAGGATCATGGGACTTAGTACCGGAGGTTTAAGGGTCTTAGGCGTTAGGGTTCAGGGACTACTTAGAGGATCGTGGGACTTAGTAACTACTTTGCTTAGGAGCCCAGTAGGTAAACTTTAAACTTTTTGGCATATTAAACCCCTACTAAAAGAAAAGTTTAAGCTTTTTTGGGCCAGGGTACTGGGCTTCAAGGTTTGTAGGGTTTATGGACTACTTAGAGGATCATGGGACTTCGTAACTACCTGGGGATCCCGATACCTGCTGTTTTAGAGGTTATAGTATATATCCAATACAGGTAGAGATTAAGGGTCCCTTTAAGGGATCTATAGGGGATGCTACAGGGGTTTAGGGTTTAGGGTACTCAGGGATTTGTGGGACTTGGTGTTATAGCTAGGCTACCTAAATAGGTTTGTTAACTGCTTATAGCTCCAACTTTACGGTACTTATCCCCTTACTTACATGATGAATGCGCATGCAGTTTCAGCCTCAGGCTTCAGGGCTTCGACATGAGGTTTCAGCTAACGCGCATGTCCGCCCTGAACTACGCGTCAGATCCAAAAGCAGTCTTTGCTTGGTGTTTACGTATAGTTTTGTTCCGTCATGGTACGTAGAAAGAAATCCCTAAACTCTAATCCCTAAACTCTAATCGGACTTTTTCGAATGTCGTCCAAAGCCAGAAGTTACCGAGCACGCGAGATTACAGCTGGGCCCAAATACAGCTGGGTCCATTGACAGTAACTGCATTCTTCATGCTGTGAATGGGGTTCAGCTCATAATCAAAAAGGTAGTTTACTGCTGCCTGCCATAAAGGCGTTGTGCACCAAGGTGGCAATTTTTCGGGCTAAGCCACAAGCCCCCGAAGCCAAAACCCTCATAGGACTTTTTAAAGGAAGGCAACCCTTGTACGAAACCCTGAAAAAGCAGGGTTTAGGGTTTAGGGTTTTTTTACAGGAATCCCAGAAAGGACCCAGAAAGAACCCTTAACCCCCCAAGACCAATCTCAGAACTCTGCGGACGAGCTCCATTGGTACGTCGCACCCAATGGAGATGGATTGCCCCCGGTCCGCTGGGCCACTGGGCTTCAGAATTGGATCGGAAGATTTGCCAATACACTGTTCCTGAGCCTTCCTTATATAGTCTAATTATACGAGAATGTACCTGAAAGTCCTGAATATGGTGTTTAAGCTTCTAGGTTTAGAGAGCAGACGGACACTCTCTGGATTATTAGGGTTTACCATGGCCATCAAAATGTCTTGGCATCGATTGTCCCCATGCGCTCAAAAATTCCAGGTGCACGTATGGGAACCCTGAACTACCCAGACCCCGTCGGGGTTCGAACAAACAGAACCCCTGACAAAAAGCATTAAGCCACAGACATAGTAGGACACCTTTCTGAAGGTTCTAGGTTTAGATGTTTGTACGGCACTGCTTAATGTGTTATGACCTGCCGGTTTGTCATTGGGTTCCGGGCTAGAAGAAACAGCTTCAAGTACAGACAGGATCCCGCCGGAACCTCTGAGGCTGCCAATCACCTAGGTCCAACTGCACTGACGCACGTAGATCAAGCTTCAGCATTTTGCAAAACCATTCAAGTTCAATGCTTACGTACGAACGCATACACTGTTAATCTCTAAACTCTACACCCTGAGTCCTGAGCCCTACAACCCTGAACACCCCAACACCCACAGTGAGCCCTGAGTCCTGAGCCCTACAACCCTAAAGACCCCAACACATGACCCTAAAACCTAAGCGAGCCCTAAAACCCTAGACCCTAAACCATAAGCGAGCCCAACAGCTAAACAACCGCCCAAACCCGAACACCTTGCATCGTACGTCCTGAGAGGGCGGCGTTCTGTATTCTTCATGCCAGTAAGTCGAGGCTAATCATATGTAAAGGTTCAAGAGACTCAGTAATGAGGCTTTCCAAACAGGAACTAGAACCCGAAACTTGCTCGTAGTTATTCAGCAGTTTATAAGTATAGGAAGACCCCAAAATTGCGGCCATTTTAGGACACTTGTCACCCTACTTGTCACCCGTAGGGTAGTTGTTGCAAAATCTCAACCCTTGTAGGAACCTTTATCTGACCTAGTTGCTATGTCCTCCGACCCAACTCCAAGTATCCTAAACCTGAAACCCTTATAATAACCTTTGTAATGTCCTGAAAAAGGCTTGTTCTTGCTTGCTACTGTTGATGATATAAATAATCAATCCTGCACGACCCATACCAAGGACTATACCATAATTCCCACAGGTTAGGGTCCTTAAGGTACTGCAGGATTTCTCATGAACAGTAGTTCTTGAACGCCTACTACCCTAAACCCTGAACCCTAAACGCCCTAAAGCCTAAACCCAGGATTTGTATCATCATCCGTATTTAAGTCCCTGGTTCTTGAACACGGCCTTTGTCACCACGAGATTCTGGCATCCGGGATCTTAACAGATTTAGGATTTGGGGAGGGTTTTGGGTTGCGGGTTTAGGGCTTAGCAGATTTAGGATTTCGGGCTTAGGGTTTGGGCTTTAGGCTAGGGGATTAAGGGTTTAGGGCCAAGGTTGGCGGGGGATCGTGTCGTACTATACTGGTAATAAGTTTAGGGTTTAGGGTTTAGGGTTTAGGGTTTAGGGTAGTAATAAGTAGGGGAACAACTGGGTGTAGTATATGGGTAGTTTTCTAGATTGGGGTCCCTTTCAGGGTCCTTTCTATACGGTTGCCGTACTGTTTCGGGGACCCGAAAAGGGACCCTACTCTAGTAAACTACCCACATTCAAACCCTAAACCCAAATCCCTAAATCCTAGGCCCTAAACCCTAAACCCAAATCCCTAAACCCTAAACCCTCTGTTGTTTCATACAGCAGTTCCTGGCAACAGCCTCGGAGCAACCGAGATCCTGAAGAAGCCCTCCGCACTTCAGCGGGTGCTCTTGGAAGGAGGCGCTTGTTGTGTTTAGGGTTTAGAGTTTATAGGGCTTTTGGGTCTTAGTTTTTAGAGTTTAGGGTTTGGGGTTTAGGGTTCAGGGTTTAGGGTGTAGGGTTTAGGGTTTAGGGTTGTAGGGTTGTAGGGTTTATGGTTTATAAGGCTTTCGGGTTTTGGGTTTGGTGGTTGTAAGGTTTAGGGTTTATAGGGCTTTAGGGTTTCAGTGTTTAGGGTTTGTAGAGTTGTAGAGTTTTAGGGTTTGGGGTTTTGGGGGTTTAGGGAGGGTTCAGGGATTAGGGCGTGTCGGTTGGTTCTCCTTCTTTGCTTTTCATCCAAAAACGCTGTTTTCTTTTTGACATAGTAGCTCATTTACTTGTTCATTCCGTATCCATTTTTGGATGCTATACGGTTTCTGTAAGGAAAGCACTATAGGCCTTCAAACTGCCTTGCCGCCTGGGCTTCTGTGGAGGGGGAATCTTTGCGAGTATAAGTTCGATGCAGACCACCAGAGAGCTCGTACTGTAGACCCTACATCCTCGCTATCCTACACCCTAAGCCCTAAACCCTAAAAGCCCTAACCCAGAATTCTGCCCAAGAGTTCTGAAGCAAAGGCTCGCAAAACCCCGAGGGCCCAAGCGATGTCTGGACTCCCAAGAACCATAAATCCTAAACCCAAACCCTATAGTCTTGCGAGCTCTAGACCCCATGGTTCCTCAGCCCGAACCTTTACCTTAAGGCATTGATTACCCTTGACAGTACCCTGTATAGAACCCTTTAAAGGAACCCTAAGCCTAAAGCCCTAAACCCTAATCCCCAAACCCCAAACCCTAAACCCTAACCCTAATCCCCAAACCCCAAACCCAAATCCCCAAACCCTAAACCCTAAATCCTTTGGGGGACTGGACTCTAAACCCTAAACCATAAACCCCAAACCTTTTAAGGGAGTCCTAAACCCTAAACCCTTCAAGGGAGCCTTGAACCCTAAGCCCTTTAAAGGAAACCCAAAGCTCTGCCACTGCTGCCTTCAGGCCTGGGCTTTGCTGAGTCCTACATGGCCACTCGCCTCCCAAGGGGGCCGAGAAGCTGGCTCCTCTTTTCGGGCCCCTTAAGGGGATCTATAAGGGATCTTTCTACCCCTAAACCCTAATTAAGGGTATTTTTTAGGGCTCTTAACGGGATCTATGAGGGTTCTATACCGGTACTATAGGGTTCTAAAAAGGGCTCCGTTTAGGGCTTCATTTTTTTGACTCCTTAGGTTCCCTTCAAGGGTTCCCTTTAGGGCTCCTTCCCTAAGGCTCCATGTGCCCATATAGTAGGTACTTAAGCCTTAAAGTACCTATATAGGGACCCCTTTAAGGCCTAAGTATCTGCTATAAAGGTACATGGAGCCTTTGGGCTTTATGGGTGGTGGGGTTTAGGGGTGTGTCCTCTGGAAGGGAGCCTTTGGAGGCCTCCTTAGAGGCACCGAAACCAAGCAAGCAGGCCTCCCCTAAGAAGGAGCGGAGAGCGGAAAGGCAGGAGGGTTTAGGGTTTAGGGTTTAGGGTTTAGGGTTTAGGGCTTAACACGGTGTAAACATGACGGTTCTGATGTTCATAATGGGAATCCTGTGAAGGGTTCAAAAAAGTTAACCCTAAACCCTAAACCCTAAACCCTAAACCCCTTGCTATAAGGCATATGGCTAAGGCAACTTAAGGGTTCAGTAAGGGCATTAAGAGAGGCTTTCGTTGTAGGGTTCCTTTAACTGGCTCTACAAGGCTTACAATGAGGATCCTATGAAAAGGGCCAAACTAGTTGGAATAGGGTTTCGGGGTCTAGTATACCATTTTGCTATATTGGCTGCCCGAAGGAGTGATGTGGGTAGTCATTCAGGCTTGTAGATTAGGGTTTCCAGCAGGGGTTAGGGGTTTAAGTGTTTATGAGTTCAGGGGTTTCGGGTTTAGGGTTGGTTCAGAGGCTATTGAAAGACATGCGTAGTAGAATTGCTAGCAGCGTTCTCGTTGCTTGGCTCTTCGTGGTGTGCATCGAACGGATCATTCATTGTCCTTGCGAATCAAAACCCTAAGCCCTAGCCCTAAGCCTAACAACCTGAAACATCCTTAAACCCTAAAGCCCTACAATCCTAAAGCCCGGCTTTTTCAAGCGTCCTGTAAAGGCGACACCTAAAGGCTACAAGCCGTTGCACCACCTAAACCCTAAACCCTAAACCCTAAAGTTTACAAGCCTTGCACCAAGGGTTTAGAACTAGGAGGAACCTAGGGAGCCCCCAGGGTTTAGGGTTTAGGGGTTTAGGGTTTAGGGTTCAGGGTTTAGGGTAGGGCTTAGGGTTTAGGGTTTAGGGTTTAGGGTTTAGGGTTTAGGGGTTCAGGGTTTAGGGTTTAGGGATCTGGGTTCTTGTTCAGAAGTTTACCTTAAGCGACCATCGTAAGAATTAAAACCATACCATAAGAATGTACAATTAGAATAGGGCTTTGGGCTCCTTTAGAGTAGAATTATAAAAAGGAACCCCCCCCAAAAAAAAAAAAAGCCTTATTCTAACTATTACTAAGGCCCTACATTAACTGTAGATTCCTATTGGTAACTTAGTGAGAGCCACAATACCATTCTACTTCCCTCAGTGTACACTCTAAATACTAAGGCCCCTACATTAACTGTAGATTCCCTAAACCCTAAACCCTAAACCCTAAACCCTAAATCGCTTAGTTTCTACTTCAGGAAGTGTACACCGTGTAGCGTGCTTGAGAATCGTGAGGTGGAGAGCCCCTTTTAGGGGTTTAGGGGCTAACTTGCAGGGTGCTATGGAGGCAGTTTTTTGAGGTTTAGGGGCTAAGTTCCTAGCAAGGTTCTAGGAAGTGTACCTGTGACTTCGTCTTGAGACCCTTGATAGCTCGAAACACCCCACCCACGCAACCGGTTCGAGTCGAAAGTCATGAGCCCGCGCCTGGTCGATCGCGGTCTTTGTCTTTGTTCCGTTCCGGACTGTCTAAGCGACCGTCCTTCCTGGGAGGAAGATGAGACATGAAGATCATGAGACATACGTGGAGTTGTTCTATGATTCCTCTTTTACTTTGACAGCTTCCTGGGCTAAGGCATGAGATGCAGCCGTGGCTAGAGCTTAAAACTTCGAGAAGCCGGTTTTCGTTTTGGCAGAGGAGGATTTGGGGCTCGCGGCTTCCGGCTTGACAATCGTGACAACATCATTTCTGTTGCGATAAGATTAGAATGCGATGTTGCCAGGTCATTTGGCAGATCAGAATGCACTAGTCCATGCGCTATGCTGGGGATTAGGATGGCATGGAAGAGCACGTGACCGAGCGGTGCTGTCACAAGCGCTATGCAAGTATTCCGAAATTTGAAATTGCATGTAACAAGGCGGATGCCACAGCCGAACCATCACGGTAATAACAGTGCCGAGACGCTGAGAACCCATCAATCAGGAACATCCTGGAGAAATCCACCCACAGTCAATCCACCGCGTTCTCGCATGATCTGAACGGTGACCAGACATTCGTCTATCGCCCCACAAGACGGCCTAAGAGCAGCAGGCAGCAGTAAGAACACGAGATGCCTCACAGGGCCTGACTGAAGTGGTTAAGCTCGAAGCACGCAAGCAAGGCTTCCCTGGCTTTAAAGTAAAGCTCGTTCCCCAAAGGTACACTGTAGATCTTGACTGGAACACTGAAGCACTAAACCTGAAGACTTAAGCCCCAGAAACCGTGACCCCATGTGACCCTTAGCCTCCAACTCCAGCACCCCAAAGCGAACACAAACCGCAAAGCCTTAAGTGTAGCCGTTAAAGTGTTAAACCTGTGAAACCGTATGAACCGGTATGACACCCCATAACCGGCACGAAACCCTGCAACAGCGTAAACTCATAAACCCAAACCCCCTGCGGAGCACTTCAAGGAACCATTGTACGAACCCTTCAAGGAATCCCCAGAGGAACCCTAAACCCTAAACCCTAAACCCTGTTAAGGAACCCCTGAACCCTGAGCCGGGATGCTCAATTCGCGTGAGCAGGGGTAGGATGGCCTGCGTCTCTGAGTGCGCAGAGGTTTGAGTGGGCAGAGGTTTGCGGGTCTTTCGGGCTCTGGGGTTTCGGCGTTTAGGTTCTAGGGTGCAGGGTTTCGGGGATTTAGGGTTTTAGGTTCGGGGTGGGGTTTAGAATGTAGGCTTGAGGCTTTAACTTGAAGTTGTACCGGGGCTATGGGACCAGCCCGAGTAAACATTCATTTGTTCAGCCTGTTTGGTTACGTGGGTGAGTTTCTGACAGCCGGACCTCACATGACCAAAACACTAAGGTACTTCGATTCAGGGCTATGCATGTAAGGGCGAATAAAATACTCAAAGTATCGCATGATAGTCCCTACCATCGTCAGATTAGATCCCCAAAAGCGGAATTTTACTTCTTAGGGCCCCTATGTGACTATTACGAATAAGACACTCCCATTACCCCTCAGAAAACCGTTTAAAGGACCCTAGAAGAAACCTTGTTCTTGCCAGTATCAGTATCATCATTCATCATTATTACCGCTGTTATTGCTATTCATTATTGTCACCACTGTCTTTATTGTGTTATCATTATCTGCCCTGTTCTTTTACTTTTTCTCGCATTATTATTATCGTTATTCTGATTATTAGTAAGCCTCTATCATGGGGTCTTCGGGCTGCATCAGAGTCTCACGCCGAGTGTCGGGAGACGTGTGGCTTTCGGCCCCACGGCTTCCACGCATCCCTGAATGACCCAAAAACGTAGTATACTTGCTGCTGATGATAAAAACCCTGCATTATCCCCCCACATCGTTTGGGCTCCTTAAGGTAAATGCAGGGTTATATATCACCAACTGTAGTATACTTACCCAGGGGGTCCGAAGTACCTCTATAGTAGAATGTAGGGTTTCTATGAGAGGAATTACTATTGTGGTTTGGGCAAGCTTCCCCCACATAGGTACTTAGGACCCTTTGGGCTATTGCTTTCATATTAACCCCCCAAACCCTCGAACAACGGATACTTCCAGGCTCGAGACATCTCGAGACTCTCAGGGGAAACAGCGCAAGGCCGCGCCTGTGAAGGGTTCTGGTTTCCTTTGAGGTACTTCTCCTGAGCAGCGGATCGCTTAGGTCAGCATTAGCCTGTCACATGTCAGTCAATCGAACACGTATACTGCTCAAACCGAGATAACCTACTACACAGGAATGGCTTCTGCAAGGCAGGTAGCTCATGATAGTTGGGTGTATGATGAAATCCTAAACCCTAAACTTATACACCCTACACGCTATGGCTTCAACGGAGACGTCATCTAGCCCCAGAGTACCAAGAATTAGCTATTGAGATTGTCATATGCCCATGGCAGGCTTTCCGATTCAGACTTTGATGCGCGGCGGCTAAAGGGGGCCTCCCTAAACCCTAAACCCTAAACCTGAATGTCTCTGCAGGATTTTTTTGGGGGGGTTTTGAACTACAGAGTGCAGACTAGCAATACAAGCTTTTGAGCAAGGCCCTCCCTAAACCCCAAACCCCAAAACCCCCAAAACCCCAAAACCTAAAACCCTGAAACCCCTAAACCTTAAACCCTAAAGCCCCCTAAGCCCTAAAACCCCAGAATCCCAAAACCCCCAAACAAAAACCACCCTAAACCTAAACCCTAGACCCTAAAACCTCTCTCTGAGCGCCAGAAAAGGCGCAAGACGCTTGATGTCGTCCAGCTTTTGAGCTCGAGGATGACAAACTTCCACGAACCTGTCGGACTTGAGCCTAGGGATTTGGGGTTTAGGGCTTAGGGCCTTGGGGATTAGGGTTTGGGGATTTAGGTAGGGTTTAGGTAGGGTTTAGGGTTTAGGGGGGTCCTAGGGGTTAGGGGTTTAGGGTTTACGGGTTTAGGGTTCAGGGATTTAAGAGTTTTGGGTCTAGGGCTTTAGGGCTTTAGGGGTCCAGGCTTCAGGGGGCTTAGGGGACTGAATATCCTGGCCACCCAAGAAGGTTATAACCTTCGAATTCTACCAGGATTAATAGGTCAACCTTTCAATTTCTGTAGGGTTATATGAGCCCCGAAAGGTTAAAGGTTACCGGTTCAGCCGGTGTATATAGGATTTAGGGGTCAGGCTTTAGGGGTTTAGGGGCTTCAAGGAACCTTCCGGACTGAGTTTGGTGTTTCAGGACGGTGATTCAGGGCTTCGGGATTCAGTGAAGCGTTTGGGGTTTGGGGGTTCCGGTTGAGGGTGTAGGAGAGTTTTAGCAGTCCAAGGTTGTGGAAGCGAAAGTGCTACAAATCAGGTTCCGTTGGCGTTGCTTAGAGTTTAAGGTCTAGGGTACACCCTAAACCCTAAATCCTAAACCGGGGGTTCAGGGTCTCGGGTTGGACCAAACACCTGGCCCCAAATCGGCCGTCCTCTGTCGCCTTGCCATCCTCCCCATCACATGCTCCTCACCGTCATCACCACCACTGTGACCATCAGTAAGGAATCTCAGGGACTGAATATCCTATTATGTGAGCCCTAACAGGTTAAAGATTACCTACTTAGCCCCTATAAGGACGCATGGTCGTCATCACCATCTGCTCAAAGGTGGAGCCGAGAACAAGTTAATGTAGGGGCCTTAACCATTAGAATAGGGTTTCGGGGCATGTTGTGCTAGATGTATAATCAGGAACCCCCAAAATAGCATTGTAATTATTTAGGCCCCTGCAGCACACTGCAAATCTCATCGACAGAGCCCCGCTTGCCTCGCGTGGGCACGGTCATCCAGCTTGTACTTGCTCCTGCAGCGAAGGCCAGGAACCGCAGGACAAGGGTTTAGGGTTGAGGGTTTAGGGTTATCTTGACTCCAGTGGGCTTTTGACCAGATACACCGCCTCAGATGCAACAGCCAGCCTAGATAGAGTTTGAAAAGCTTGACACTTTCAGTGGGCATCTATCCCGGAGCGGAGACAAGAATGCAGAATAAGTGTAGAGGATTATTGCGGCTTATGTGCTGGGATTCAATCTGTGGCTCTGCCATGCCCTGCTTCTAAGTTTGGTCTGAGCCAAACTCACCGTGCGATATGGGAGTTTCCGAGAATATGGGGTACCTTATTTGGGGTCCTTATAATAAGGATCCTACTATTTAGGGTACTAGCTTAGGGTCCCATATTTTCGGAAAGCCCTATATGGACTAACGGACTAACGACGCACGAAATCCGTGCCTCGTGAAAGGATGCAGGCTCGAACACTAATGTAGGGGCAAAATAATAAGAATAGAATTTTGGGGTATATATTACATATTATACAGACAATAAGGACGCCCCCCCCCCCCCCAACAAAAAATAGTGTAGGCAACTATTAAGCCCCTATATTGCTGCAACGTTTGGGGATCTCTACTGGACCTGCGGGTAGGGTCTGACAGCTGTTCCCAAACTATGACCCAAGGCTTCCCGGGGCCACGCTA